GAAAATGACTGAAATAAACGCTCATTCCCACTGTTCAGGCATTTTCCTTTCAAGTCTATGGGGACCAAACTCTCAGATCTGCCTGAAAAGTACCCCAAGTACTTTTTTGAGCAACAAGCATTTTGCTACAGGTGACAGAATGCTCAAGTGTGAACAGGGATCATTGGAAATAATGGGATTTTACTTGTTGAGTGTTTCTGAGTGTCCAGCTGAAAAACGCTCAATGGGGTCGTAAGGAAATTCATACACATTTTATCAAAGTGCCATGTTAAAAATCTTTTTGTTCTCATTCAACCTAGATACAAACTGTTCTAAGGAGGCCTGATGCTCTTTCCAGATGAGGCAGATGGCATCTACAAATCTCTTTTATAGCAATGATTTTTTTTTGGCTTCTCCTGTAATAGATATTAAGATTCTCATTTGGCCATAAAATATTAGCTCAACTGGGTGTAAATTTGGCCCCCTTGACAACTGCACTATGGCACTTTGTATATGGTAAAAGAGGAGCTACCATTGTGGCACGTTTGCGAATTATGTTAGCACTAAGCACTTTCAAATGATTTGGAGGCACAATTCCATATATTACAGGTATGTTGTTGTTTAGCATAAATAATAAGGTATCACACACTTTTTTTATATTGATATGAAATCTTACATATATGTAGGTAGTTGGAGTGCTGTACTTCTGTATTCATTAATACTAACGTGACATTTGTGTGTTAAAACTTTAGCTAAAATACTAACATAGCATACATGCAGTAACATTTACATGAATGAATGGTTATCTGATTTTCATCTTACCTCTCCATTTGTACTTGTGACTCCAATATAATTTTGAAGTTCTTCAATATCCCCTGATGGACCTGTGATCAAAGAGGTGCCAGTGTCTACAATGGCTTGACATCCACCACTGCAAAATGTCACTTGGCCTGCCACCTGTATGCTGGATTAAAGTGAGACCCTTTGATTATTCACTGTAATGTATGAAAACAAATGTAACTAGTAGAAAATCATGTAAGACATACTGATTGTCTCCAGACTTTTCCATATGCAGTAAAATCTTACCAATTACCTATGGCAGAAGGACATAAGTTAACATTATTATTATTATATTATTATACAGTATTTATAAAGCGCCAACAGTTCGCTTAGCGCTGTACATTACAATGGGAGACAGAACATGCGACAGTACAATAACAATACAATGTGATACACGAGGGGTTCGAGGGCCCTGCTCCTTGGAGCTTACAATCTAGGAGGGAGGGGATAGTGGTACAGGAGGAAATAGCTGTGGGGGATGGAGTGGTAGGAAGAGTGGAGGAGGTTGGGAATTAGCGGGGAGTGGGGTAGGCTTCCCTGAAGAGGTGGGTTTTCAGGGTGCGCCTAAAGGAGTGGAGAGTAGGTGATAGTCTGATGGATTGGGTAGGGAGTTCCAGAGTATGGGTTATGCCCTGGAGAAGTCCTGGAGGCGGGCATGGGAGGAGGAGACTAGGGAACTAGAGAGAAGGAGGTCTTGTGAGGAGCGGAGAGTGCGTGTAGGGTGGTACTTGGATATTAGGTCGGTGATGTAGTTTGGGACAGTATGATGGACAGCTTTGTACGTCAGTGTTAGGATTTTGAATTTGATCCGTTGGGCAATCGGAAGCCAGTGGAGGGATTGCCAGAGGGGGGTGGTGGAAACGGAGCAGTTGGTAAGGTGGATGAGTCTGGCTGCCATATTCAGGATCGACTGAAGCGGGGATAACCTGTGGTGAGGCAGGCCAGTGAGGAGGGAGTTGCAGTAATCGAGTCGTGATATGATAAGGGAGTGAATGAGCTGCTTTGTAGTTTCTGGGGTTAGGAACGTGCGTATTTTGGCGATGTTGCAGAGGTGGAGTCTGTATGAGTTTGTTAGTGATTGGACTTGGGGCTGGAAGGATAGATTGGAGTCAAGAATGACACAAAGTACTCTGGCCTGCGGGGCGGGCCTGATGGTGGCATTGTTGAACGTGATGGAGAAGTCAGTGGGGGGTGGTGTGCACACTGGGGGGAAGACTAGGAGCTCAGTTTTGGAGAGGTTCAGTTTAAGGAAGTAGAGCAACATCCAATCTGATATGTCGTTCAGTAGGCTTGTGATTCGGTGGAGACTGAGGGGGTGAGGCGAGGGGTCGAGAGATAGATTTGCGTGTTGTCGGCATAGAGGTGGTAGTTGAAGCCGTAAGAGTGTATGAGTTGGCCAAGGGAGGAGGTGTAGATGGAGAAGAGAAGGGGCCCCGAGGACAGAGCCTTGAGGGACCCCAACGGAGAGTGAGGGGGAGGTGGTAGCGTTATAGGTAATGCGGAAGGAGCGTTGTGATAGGTAGGACGAGAGGCAGAGAGAGCGGAATCTCTGAGGCCAAGGGAGTGTAGTTTTTTGAGGAGGAGGGGGTGGTTGACTGTGTCGAAAGCCGCTGAGAGGTCGAGGAGTAGGAGCACTGAATAGTGGCCATTAGCTTTGGTGGTTAGCAGGTCGTTGGAGAGTTTGAGTAAGGCGGTTTCGGTGGAGTGTAGGGGACGGAAGCTGGACTGTATTTAGTTTGCATCAAAGCACATTTACAAGAGATCAGGAACCACTCTGTCTTGTTCCTGAACATGTGATAACCTTCACTTGCTGATTTTAATAGTAAGAGCTGTGTACTTGATGCAAATATGTGAGGATATGCTTTACAAACACACAATTTTATATGAGTATGTATTTTATAAAGTTTGTACTGTAAATTGAACTATATGAGACATTTGAATTCTGTAGCATTGTATGTGTTTTTAATCATTGTTTAATCCCCCACTGTCAAAAGTCATTACGGCGGAACTTCTCCTTAAAAGGGACGTTCTGCTGATCCTCCTTTTGTTCTCCTTTTGGCACCTTTTTTTTTTTTTTTTGGGCAGGTACCCACTCCCACTCAGGCAATCAGTGGAAGTTCAACCCCCCCTTTCCCCAGCCACCTGCCTCCTGGGACATGTCACAGCAATGCCATGTAAGCAAAGGAGCCAGGAATAGTTAAGGAGTTCTCCCCCTTAAATCATACCTGCTACTTCAGGTCTGGTATGTGGTTTATTCACAATCAGTTTTTCTAGTCTTTTTTGAACACTGGTTTCTGTCAGCCACAAGGCTTTATTCAATATAATATTATTATTCTTTTGAAATGTTATATTCTTATCCTTCCTTCTTCTACAATAATTTACTGTTTGTTTTATCCCTTCAGCCACTAAGACTTCACCTCATCACAAGCCCCGTTAGCAGTGTAAACCTGCATAGTCACTATCAAATCACTCTCATCCACCCCTTCTACCTATCCTGTCCCTCTGAAAAAGAATATACTATTGGATAGTCACAAGCCAGTCACATGAGCTGTCAAACCAGGTTCCTGGTATTCCTATAAAGTCAAAATCCTTATCAGCCTTATCAGACATTCTAGTTCTTCCATTTCATTAACCAGACTTCTAGCATTTTTGTATATACCTTTTAATTTTGTACAAACACATTTTATTTTATTCTTGCTCACTCTCAGGTGACAGTCTAAGACTAGCATTGGTCTTAGATACTTCAGTTTCTCTCCTTTTTGTCATATTTCCATAGGGGGATATTGAGTAAATGAATCAGAGTAATGGGGTTATCCTAACATGTGGTTTTATTGCTGGTGACACACTGGGTTTAATATTGTCTTTTATTAGCTGGGCTTTCTACACTAAGTGAGCTTGTCTGCTAAATATTTTTTCTTAAGTGCCAGGTTAATCTAGGTGTTCCCTCTTTTTACTATCTTTGAAGGGGACGGTTGTCACTTAAAGCAGTAATAAACCACAGCTGGAGAAAAAAAAATCCCCTGGAAGGTAATGTCATAATGTGCTAGTATGCATCGCATACTAGGACATTATGCAGGACTTACCTTAAAACAAAGCCCTCCAGCAGTGCGGTGTCCCCGCTGCAGAGGTTTCCATCTGCATCCAGTCTTCCTTCTGGGTTTGCAAATCCTGGCCGCTGGACTGGCCGAGCCGCACTGACGTCACTACCGCGCAAGCGCGTGGGAGTCTCGGGATACGTCACAGTGCTCTGAAGGAATGGCATAGGTATGTATTGAGTTGGCCCATCCTTTGCAGCTATAACAGTTTCAACTTTTCTGGGAAGGCTATCCAGAAGGTTTAGGTCACAATGCAGTCAGACAAGTACCGTTCTCCTGGCAACCGCCAAATCCAGGCACGTCCATCGGAGTGCCAGACAGAGAAGCGTGATTCATCACTCCAGAGAATACGTCTCCACTACTCTAGAGTCCAGTGGCGGTGTGCTTTACACCACTGTATCCAATGATTTGCATCGCACTTGGTGATGTAAGGCTTGGATGCAGCTGCTCAGCCATGGAAACCCATTCCATGAAGCACTGTTGTCATGCTAATATGAAGGCCACATGAAGTTTGGAGGTCTTTAGCTATTGACCCTGTAGACAGTTGGCAACTTCTGTCAATATATGTGACCTACCACTTCATGGCTGAGTTGCTGTTGTTCCCAGTTGCTTCCACTTTGTTATAATACCACTAACAATTGACCGTGGAATATTTAATAGCAAGGACATTTCACATTATTGCACAGGTGGCAACCTTTCACGGTACAACACTTGAATTCACTAAGCTCCATCTTTCACTAAGCTTCCTTCTTTCACAAATATTTGCAGAAGCAGTTTGCATGCCTAGGTGCTTGATTTTATACGCCTGTGGCCATCAAGGTGATTGGAACACCTGAATCCAATGATTTGGAGGGGTGTCCCAATACTTTTGGCATATATAGTGAGTGTGTATATATATATATATATATATATATATATATATATGTGTAAGGAACTGCCTGGCAGTACCTCTAGCAGCCCACTTGTCAGGTTTCCCCAGTGCGCGGAGTCTAAGTCCCGGTCCGCTTGTTCACCAGGGCCCCTGATGGTGGGGATGGACTTGGAGCGAACCGAGACCAGGTTGCGGCTCCTGAGTACACCCACCTGTGGTAGAGGAATCCGCCAGAGGTTCCTGCAGGGTGAGAGCCTGATGTGAAGAGGCGGATATGCCAGGGCAAGGTGGATGAATGAGCAAGAGCGTGGTCAGACAAGCCGAGTCGGTAGCCGTGGGAGCAGTGCGGTACAAAGCAGTGGGCAGAGAATGGTCGGGTCACACGCCAGGTCAGCAACAGAAGAACAGATCCACAAGGGGGCATCCAGAAGGGAGGTGTCAGGACACGGGTGTTCTGCAGCATTGCGCCGGGCAGCGCATGCGCAGAACGCCAACACGCTCTAGCCAGCGGGCGACGGGACCTGGACGAGCACGACTGCGGCGGTGGCCGCACATGCGCACTCGCGATCGCGGACACACGCCTGGCACCAATGACAGCGCAGGGCGGGCTATTTAAACAAGAACAGAGGTATGTCAAATTGCCGTTTGGTCTTACCTGCTCTGTGTCCTGATTCTTGTTCCTGTGATTGTTCCATTGCCGACCTCTGCTTTGTACCTGACCCTGCTGACTTCTCCTGATTAACCCCTGGCTTGCCTGACCATCCTTCTGCCTGATCCTTGGTACCGCGCTGCCCGCTAGTTGCTGAACCTGGCTTGTGACTCCGACCATTCTCTTCTTACTCCTCTGGGTACATCGCTGCCCGCACAATACCGACCCGGCCTGTCTGACTACACTTCACGCTACCCGGACGATCCATCCATCCCGCACGGATCCCTCCCTGACAGTAAGTCTGCCAGACTCTTCACATCAGACTCCGTTTCTCGCACACCTCTGACGGTGCTCTCTACCACTGCCGGACGCACTCAGGGGTCGCGACCTGGTCTCAGTCTGCACCAAGTCCATCCCCACCATCAGGGGCCCTGGTGAATAGTAGATTGGGACTTGGACCCCACGCCCTGAGGAACTCCGCGCTGTGGGCTGCTAGAGGCACCACCCTAACAGTACCAAACGGCCAATATGTCGGAGCCTGGAAGAGGACCCTCCCCGCTGGAGGATATATGTCAGCACCTGGCGGCACTAACCCAGGCGGTAAAAACACTACAGGAGGGTTATACCCACCTGGAAGGTCGGATCCAAACATTGACCACTTCCATTCCGGCACCCGATGACCCGGGTCCCTCATCTTTGACCGGCAGCACTCTGGGAACCCCTGCCGGAGCTGCAGGGGCTACATCCATGCCGAAACCTCATGTTCCGATACCGGAACGATTCAACGGGAATTGCACTAAGTTCAGGGCCTTCCGTAATGCCTGCCAGCTGTACTTCAGGCTGCAGCCACGGACATTTGCCACAGAATCCGTGAAAGTGGGGTTTGTCATTTCCCTGTTGCAGGATGAACCCCAGGCCTGGGCCCACTGGTTACTGGAGACCCAGCAACCACCACAGCTGGAATCAGTATCAGCTTTCTTTGAAGCGATGGCCCTCCTGTACGATGATCCCGAATGAGCAGCTTCAGCTGAATCGGCCCTTCAAACACTCAGACAGGATTGTAGGGCGGCCGAGGAGTACGCAGCAGAATTCAGACGTTGGATGGGAATACGCAGTGGAACGGATGCGGCCCTGCGTCACCAGTTCCACATCGGTCTGTCCGAGTCATTGAAGGACAAACTAGCCAGGGTAGGCATACCAGCCATGTTAGAAGATCTCATTACCCTGGCTATCCAGATTGACCGACACTTGCGAGAGCGCCGGATGGAAAGGTCCGGCCAGGGCCTGAGGCCTGCATGGATGTTACCCCGTGCACCGGCGCAGGCCACTTTGCCTACTGGAAATCGCAATCCGGAAACAGCGGATCCTCCCGAACCGCTGCAAGTGGGGCTAGCTCGTCCTTCCTTAACACCCGAGGAATGCCAGAGACGTCGACGCAACAATCTGTGCCTGTACTGTGGGGAAGTGGGCCACATGGTACATTCCTTCCCAGCAAAAGCGGGTAAGTGTGCATCTGTTTTTTCTGCCACATCTTCCACTGCCATGAACAATTTTAGTTACTTAGCAGTACCTGTCTCATTCCAGCTCCCGGAAGGATCGTGACGGCCACAGCGATCGTTGATTCCGGGGCCTGTAGCTGTTTTGTAGATCTGGGTTTTGCAGCACGGTTCCAGATTCCCCTACAGACTAAGGAATGTGGATTTAACATTTTTCTGGCTGATGGGTCCCGAATCAAGTCAGGGGTAGTAGACCGGGAGACCCCACCTCTCTGTGTGACAGTTGCCGGGAATCATCAGGAATTCCTTCGTTTGGATGCCATCGCATCCCTTCTGTTTCCAATTATTCTGGGGCTTCCGTGGCTGCGAGCCCACGACCCCCAGATTAATTGGAAAACTGGTACCCTCCAGTTCAGCTCCCCATACTGTCAGGTGCACTGTTGTCCACAGGAGCCGCAGGCTCCGCGCTCACTATTATGCTTAGATATTGACGCAGAATTGACGCAACTCATTCCCCCGGCCTACCACAAATTCCTTGACGTATTTAGTAAGCGAGGAGCGACAACCTTCCCCCACACAGAGCCTATGATTTCCCGATCGACCTACTTCCTGGATCCGAGGTACCTTTCGGGCGAATTTTCCCCTTATCTGAGAGAGAATTGGGAGTACTCAAGGAGTATATAGATGAGAATCTCCAGAAAGGGTTCATACGTCCCTCCACGTCCCCGGCCGGGGTGGGTATTTTCTTCGTCGAGAAGAAAGATAAATCCTTGAGACCCTGTGTGGACTACAGGGAACTCAATAAGATCACGGTAAAGAACAGTTACCCACTTCCCTTGATACCGGAATTGTTTCAGAGGCTCAGGACAGCATCCATTTTTACAAAACTGGATCTAAGGGGGGCTTACAATCTGGTCCGTATTCGGGAGGGAGATGAGTGGAAAACTGCTTTCCGTATGAGGTTTGGGCACTTCGAATATTTGGTAATGCCCTTCGGTCTATGCTATGACCCCGCAACATTTCAACACTTCATTAATGATGTGTTCAGAGATTTCTTGGATGTTTTTGTGGTCATCTATCTAGATGACATTCTGATCTTCTCTGCATCCCTGGAAAAGCATAGAGGTCACATTAAAAGTGTGCTGGAACGGCTCCGTCTACATGGCCTATACGCAAAAGCAGAGAAGTGCAGCTTTGAGCAGCACAGTATCCCCTTTTTATGACTAATCATCTCCACCACCGGGGTAGCCATGGACCCCCAAAATATCTCTGCGATTCTGGAATGGCCGGTGCCGGTGGATAAAAAGGGGGTGCAGCGATTCATTGGCTTCGCCAATTTTTACCGGAAGTTTATCAAGAACTTTTCAGGCCTTGTGTCCCCCATCACTCAACTCACCAAACAAGGAGTACGTTTCAGGTGGACACCTGAGGCACAAATAGCTTTCGAATCCCCTGAAGAGGTTGTTCACCGAGGCCCCCATATTGAGCCATCCGGATTGCTCACTGCCCTACATCCTAGAGGTAGACGCACGAAAACACGGTAGGGGCTGTAATCCCAAAGGAAGGGCGTGAAGGAACTGATGCACCCCGTGGCATTTTTCTCCAGAAAGCTGTTGTCTGCGGAGAGGAATTATGACATTGGGGACCGGGAACTTTTTGCCATCAAGGCAGCATTAGAGGAGTGGAGGTACTTACTGGAGGGAGCCGTGCACCCAATACTAATTTTCACGGACCACAAATATCTTGAGTACCTGAGGATGGCGAAGCGCTTGAGGCCATGTCAGGCTAGGTGGGCACTCTTTTTCTCTCGATTTGTGCTCCACATCACATATAGGCCCGGATCAAAGAACACAAAACCCGATGCACTCTCGCGTATGTTTGAAGATCCGGAAGAACCCCACAAACCAGACACCATCCTGTCTTCGGGGAATTTCCTCGCGCTACAAACTGAGGTACGGTCCCAATTACAGGTGGCATCCATGGAAATGCCAAACCTACTGGGAGTTCCGTTACAGAATAAGGAAGGACTTTGGTGGAAAGAAGAGGGACGGATCATGGTACCCGAAGAATCCCTGCACCGCAGTCTTAGGTCACTGCCATGATCATCCTCTGGCTGGCCACTTTGGGGTCTGGAAAACATTGGAACTTCTGCAAAGTGTGTTCTGGTGGTCCCAGCATGTCGAAGGATTGCGAAGCATACGTGAAGACCTGTGTCTGCCAGAAGAATAAGCCTTCCAGGAACAAGTCTTGGGGTCTGTTACGACCCTTACCCATACCTAACAGGCCATGGGAAATGATCTCTATGGATTTCATTGTAGAGCTCCCACCATCCCAAAAACATACCGCCATCTTCCTGGTGGTGGACCGCCTATCTAAGATGGCCCATTGTCTGCCTCTAAAGAACACACCATCCGCTGCAGAGACAGCTCGAATCTTCGTAAAGGAAGCTGTAAGACTTCATGGAGTCCCAAAGGATATAGTTTCAGATAGAGGAGTCCAGTTCACCTCTAAATTCTGGAGAGCACTATGCAAGACTCTGGGAATCAAACTATCATTATCCTCAGCATACCACTCACAGACCAACGGACAGACGGAATGTGTACAAATCAAACCCTGGAGCAGTATCTCTGATGCTACACGTCGTTCCTTCAGGATGACTGGCTGACTCTCTTTGCCGCTGGCCGAGTTCACGTATAATAATGCGAACCACTCTGCTACTCAACAATCTCTGTTTTTTGCCAACTACGGATTCCATCCGACATTTCTACCTGACACGATTCCAGAAAGTCCAGTACCAGCTACACAAGACATGTTACAGTTCTTTGCAACAAATAACAGGGTGCTTACAAGAGGCTATTTCAAAAGCTCAAGAAGGTAGTAAGAAGGCCTTCGATAAAAGAAGGAGAGGCGAGCTTGTTTTGCATCCGGGGGACCAGGTCTGGTTAGCCACAAAGAATCTAAAGATGTCATGCCCATCAAGAAAATTGGGACCAAAATTCATGGGTCCATTCAAGGTGAAACGGAAGGTTAACGAGGTGGCATATGAGCTCATACTCCCTGAATCCTTTAAAATACACCCAGTGTTTCACGTGTCCTTGTTGAAACCCACAGCACCAGATCCATTCCCGAACCGGAGATCTAGGCCTCCGGAGGCCATAAACATTGATGGGGAAGAGGAATTTGAGGTTGAAACAATTTTAGACTGCAGAAAAAGGGGAGGCCAGACTCAATTCCTCATTAAATGGGAAGGGTACGGTCTGGAAGAAAACTCATGGGAACCATCCCAGAACATCCATGCCCCTAGACCAGTGATGGCGAACCTATGGCATGCGTGCCAGAGTTGGCACGCAGAGCCATCTCAGTGGGCACGCCAGGAAGAAGAGGAAGATGAGCGCACACGGACCACGCACACTCACTGGCCATCCAGATCTCATCTACACTGGACCCCCATCAAACTACATCTCCCACATGTCTCTGGGGCCAGGGTGGGTGTGGACGAGAGGAAACGGCTCCTATGCAGATCTGGCACCAGGGGTGATGGGCGTGGAAGAGAGGAAGAGGCTCCCACACTGCTCCGGGGCCAGGGGCGATGTGTTCCGCGTGGATGGGAATGAGCTGCTGGGTTGGAAGCCACACCGACACTGCCAGAGGTGAGATTAACTGCTTGCAGTGTCACCCATCAGTGCCCAGAAGTGTCACCCATCAGTGCCCAGCAGTGTCGCCTGTCAGTGCTGCCCAGCAGTGCCACCTGTCAGTGCCCAGCAGTGTTGCCCATCAGTGCCACCCATCAATGAGGCCCAGCAGTGCCGCCGATCAGTGCCGTCTGTCAGTGCCTCCAGTTGGTGCTATCAGTCAGTGCAGCTTATCAGTGCCCATCATTGCTGCATATCAGTGCATCATCAGTGCCTCCTCATCAATGCCCACCAGTGCCGCCTCATCAGTGCTACCTATCTGTGCCGCCTCATAAATGCCCATCAGTGCTGCCTATTAGTGCAGCCTCACCAACGCACATCAAAGAAGAAATATTACCTGTTTGCAAAATTTTATAATAGAAGCAAAGAAAACCTTTTATGTTTTTAATTTTTTGCTCTTTTTTCATTTATAGTGCAAAAAATAAAACACCCAGTGGTGATTAAATACCACCAAAAAAAGCTCTATTTGTGTGAAAAAATGAGTGTTGCATGACCGCACAATTGTCATTGTCAAGTGCAACAGCACTGAAAGCTGAAAATTGGTCTGGGCAGGAAGGGGGTAGAAGTGCCCGGTAGGCAAGTGGTTAATTGCAGTGTTGGCACTTTGAAATAAAAAAGTTGGTTTTGTGTTGCAGTTTTGGGCACTCGGGCTCAAAAAGGTTCGCCATCACTGCCCTAGACTGATTCGGGAATTTTTCGATAACCATCCACACAAGAGAGAGCAATTGGGCATCCGGCGGCTGCCCGTAGGGGGGGGGGGGGAAAATGTGAGGACGCGGGTGTTCTGCAGCATGGCGCCGGGGTGGCGCATGCGCAGAACGCCAACACGCTCTAGCCGGCGGGCGACGGGACCTGGACGAGCACGGCTGCGGCGGTGGCCGCACATGCGCACTCGCGTTTGCGGACACACGCCTGCCACCAATGACAGCGCAGGGTGGGCTATTTAAACAAGAACAGAGTTATGTCAAATTGCCGTTTGGTCTTACCTGCTCTGTGTCCTGATTCTTGTTCCTGTGATTGTTCCGTTGCTGACCTCTGCTTTGTACCTGACCCTGCTGACTTCTCCTGATTAACCCCTGGCTTGCCTGACCATCCTTCTGCTTGATCCTTGGTACCGTGCTGCCCTCTAGTTGCTGAACCTGGCTTGTGACTCCGACCATTCTCTTCTTACTCCTCTGGTACCTCGCTGCCCGCACAATACCAACCCGGCCTGTCTGACTACGCTTCACGCTATCGGACGATCCATCCATCCTGCACGGATCACTCCCTGACAGTAAGTCTGCCAGCCTCTTCACATCAGATTCCGTTTCTCGCACACCTCTGATGGTGCTCTCTACCACTGCTGGACGCACTCAGGGGTTGCAACCTGGTCTCAGTCTGCACCACCATCAGGGGCCCTGGTGAATAGCAGATTGGGACTTAGACCCCGCACCCTGAGGAACTCCGTGCTGTGGGCTGCTAGAGGCACCGCCAGGTGGACCCTAACAGGAGGTCAGGCGAGCCAGGGGTCAGAGCAGGAGAGAACAGCCAGGTCAGCAACAAATTCGAGTCAGCAGGAATCACAGAACAAGATCAGGAACACAGGGAGACCAAACGGCACCACCTGTCAGCGCAGGGCGATTTAAATATTGCGCCCTGCGCTGTCATTGGTGCCAGGCGCGCACCCGCGGCTCCGAGTGCACATGCGCAGGCTCTGTCTCCGCCGCGGCTGGCCAGGACCTAGTGCCCACACACTAGCATGAATGGGCAACAGTGCGCCTGCGCCGAGCTGTGGATCGTGGAGGCCCCTGACATTGCCCCCCCCCCTACTGCCCATACAACCTCCAGGTGCCCAACTGAACTCTCCACCGTGGGTGACTACGATAGAACTCCCGGATAAGCCTGGGGGCATGAACATTTTGGGCCGGTTCCCATGAGTTTTCCTCGAGTCTGGCCCCCCCTTTTCCGGCAGTTCAGGATTGCTTCCACCTCAAATTCCTCCTGCTCCTCAGTGGTTATAGCCTCTGGAGGTCTGGATTCCCGATCCGGGAAGGGGTCTGGCACAGCTGGCTTCAGAAGTGATAAATGAACTGGGTGGATTTTGAAAGTCTCTGGAAGAACCAGTTCATACGACACCTTGTTAATCATTCGCTTCACTCGGAATGGACCCACAAACTTCGGGCCCAGTTTCTTCGATGGACAAGATATTTTCAAGTTTGTTGTTGCCAACCAGACCTGACCCCAGGTTGCAACACTAGTTCCCCCCTTCGCTTCCTATCGAAGGTTTTTTTTTGTTGTCTTCTTGGGCTCTTGAAATAGCTTCCTGAAGCACCTTGTTATTGGTAGAAAAAAAAACTGAGCGTGCCTTGAGTGGCAGGGACTGAACTTTCGGCAACCAGATCGGGCAGGAATGTGGGATGGAACCCATAGTTCGCAAGGAACGGAGATTGTCCCGTGGCTGAATGGTTTGCGTTATTGTAGGCGAATTCTGCCAGTGGTAGGAGTGCCAGCCAACCATCCTGCAGGAAGGACGTGTAACATCTCAAGTACTGTTCCAGTGTTTGGTTTGTCCTCTCTGTCTGCCCATTAGTCTGTGGGTGGTAAGCGGAGGAGAGAGACAATCTGATACCCAATGCTTCCCATAATAACCTCCAGAACTTCGAAGTAAACTGGACTCCTCGATCCGAGACGATGTCTTCAGGGACTCCGTGCAGCCTCACTACTTCTCGTATGAAGATTTGCGCAGTTTCAAGAGCTGATGGCGTGTTCTTCAAGGGTAGAAAGTGGGCCATTTTTGACAAACGGTCCACGATCACAAAGATCGCAGTATGGCCCTGGGACGGAGGAAGCTTGACTATAAAGTCGTTCGCAATAATTTGCCATGGTCGATCGCGTATAGGTAGTGGGCGTAGCAGACCCCAGGTCTTGCTCCTAGATGGTTTGTTCCTTTGACAAATGGCGCAGGACTTAACGTAGCGTTCACAATCCTTAATCATGCTTGGCCACCAGAACATGCGCTGGAGCAATTCGAGAGTCTTCGCCAGCCCGAAATGACCTGCCATCAGATGATCGTGGCAGTGTCCCAGGACCAATGTTTGGACCTCTTCTGGTACCACTATTAGTCCTTCCTTCCATACGAGTCCTCCCTTGCTCTGGAGGGACACCCCAGGTAGGGTTGGCATATCCAAGGATTCATCTTGCAGCCTAGAACGTAGCTACGTCTGGAGGGCGTCGGGCTTTGTGTTTTGGAGCCTGGTCTGTACGTGATGTGGAAGGAGAATCGGGAGAAAAAAGAGTGCCCACCTCGCTTGGCGTGGTCCTAAGCGTTTTGCTGTTCTCAAATACTCTAGATTCTTATGGTTGGTAAAAATCAGAATAGGATGCGTAGCTCCTTCCAACAGGTATCTCCACTCCTCTAATGCGGTCTTCATAGCCAACAGTTCTCGATCTCCAATGTCATAGTTCCTTTCTGCCAGTGAAAGTTTCCTCGAGAAGAACGCCACTGGGTGCAGAAGTTCCTTGGTGCCCTATCTCTGGGACAGGATGGCCCCTACTGCATTTTCTGAGGCATCTACTCCCAGGACATAAGGTGGGGAGGAATCAGGATGACTGAGGATGGGAGCGGTAGTAAATAATTTCTTTAGAGACTTGAATGCTGCCTGAGCCTCGGGCGTCCATTTGAAGCGGACCCCTTGTTTGGTCAACTGGGTAATAGGGGAGACCAGACCAGAGAAGTTCCAGATAAACTTTCTATAAAAAATTAGCAAACCCAATAAAGCATTGTATGCCTTTCTTATCCGTGGGTACTGGCCAGTCCAAGATCGCCGAGCCCTTCTGAGGATCCATGGCGACCCCCGCGGTGGAGATGATCAGCCCCAGGAATGCAATACTGTGCTGCTCAAAGCTGCACTTGTCAGCTTTTGCATACAGACTGTGTTGGCATAATCGTTACAACACACTTGTCACAGGACCCCTATGAGCTTCGAGTGAAGGAGAGAAATATTAATATGTCGTCCAAATAGACAACCACAAAAATATCAAGATAGTCTCTGAATACATCATTAATGAAATGTTGGAACGTGGCCGGGGCATTGCAGAGTCCGAATGGCATGACCAAATACTCAAAATGGCTAAATTGAGTACGAAATGCCGTTTTCCACTCGTCCCCCTCCCTTATACGGACCAGATTATATGCACCCCTCAAATCTAGTTTTGTAAAAATGGCTGCGGATTTCAGTCTCTGGAAGAGTTCTGGGACCAGGGTCAGTGGATAGCGATTTTTTAATCGTGACCTTGTTTAGCTCGCGATAATCAATGCAGGGTCTCAGGGACTTATCCTTCTTTTCTACAAAGAAGATTCCGGCCCCTGCTGGGGAAATGGAAGGGCGGATGAACCCCCTTTTGGAGGTTCTCATCGATGTATCCTTGAGAACCCCTAATTCTAACTCGGACAGGGGAAAAATTCGACCGAACGGAATTTCTGAGCCAGGTAGATGGTCAATGGGGCAGTCATATGTTCGGTGTGGAGGCAGGACGTCTGCCCCCCATTTGCTGAAGACATCCAGGAAACTGTGGTAGGCCGAAGGGACGACCTGTCTTAGATTGGAGTCTCCATACGAGCATAGGAGGAATTGGGGAGCTGTGGGGCCCGATGCATGGCAGTGTTCCTGACAATATGGGGAGAGGAACTGAACAGAACCGGTTTCCCAATCAATTTGGGGGTTATGGGCCCGCAACCAAGGAAGCCCCAGAATGACTGGGAAAAGAGGAGACGCTATGGGCAGAGAATAGTCGGGTCACACGCCAGGTCAGCAACAGAAGAACAGATCCACAGGGGGGCATCCAGAAGGGAGGTCAGGCAAGCCAGGGGTCAGAGCAGGAGAGAACAGCCAGGTCAGCAACAAATCTGAGTCAGCAGGAATCACAAACAAGATCAGGAACACACAGGGAGACCAAACGGCACCACCTGTCAGCGCAGGGCGATTTAAATATCGTGCCCTGTGCTGTCATTGGTGCCAGGCACGCACCCGCGGCTCTGAGTACGCATGCGCGGGCTCCGTCTCCGCCGCGGCCGGCCAGGACCTAGTGCCCGCACACTAGCGTGAACAGGCACAGTGCGCCTGCGCCGAGCCGCGGATCGTGGCGACCCCTGACAATACAGTGGGGATCGAAAGTTTGGGCACCCCAGCTAAAAATTTGTATTAATGTGCATAAAGAAGCCAAGGAAAGATGGAAAAATCTCCAAAAGGCATTAAAATAACAGATTAGGCATTCTTATAATATGTCAACAAAAGTTAGATTTTTTTTCCATCATTTACACTTTCAAAATAACAGAAAACAAAAAAATGGCATCTGCAAAAGTTTGGGCACCCTGCAGAATTTATAGCATGCACTGCCCCCTTTGCCAAGCTGAGACCTGCCAGTGTCATGGATTGTTCTCAATCATCGTCTGGGAAGACCAGGTGATGTCAATCTCAAAGGTTTTAAATGCCCAGACTCATCTGACCTTGCCCCAACAATCAGCACCATGGGTTCTTCTAAGCAGTTGTCTAGAAAACTGAAACTGAAAATAGTTGACGCTCACAAAGCTGGAGAAGGCTATAAGTAGATAGCAAAACGTTTTCAGATGTCAATATCATCTGTTCGGAATGTAATTAAGAAATGGCAGTCATCAGGAACAGTGGAAGTTAAAGCAAGATCTGGAAGACCAAGAAAAATATCAGACAGAACAGCTCGCAGGATTGTGAGAAAAACAATTCAAAACCCACGTTTGACTGCACGATCCCTCCAGAAAGATCTGGCAGACACTGGAGTTGTGGTACACTATTCCACTATAAAGAGATACTTGTACAAATATGGTCTTCATGGAAGAGTCATCAGAAGAAAACCTCTTCTACATCCTCACCACAAAAATCATCGTTTGAACTTTGCAAATGAACATATAGACAAGCCTGATGCATTTTGGAAACAAGTTCTGTGGACCAATGAGGTTAAAATTGAACTTTTTGGCCGGAATGAGCAAAAGGTACGTTTGGAGAAGAAGGGGCACAGAATTTAATGAAAAGAACCTCTGTCCAACTGTTAAGCATGGGGTTGGATCAATCATGCTTTGGGGTTGTGTTGCAGCCAGTGGCACAGGGAACATCTCACGAGTAGAAGGAAAAATGGATTCAATAAAATTTCAGCAAATTTTGGATGGTAACTTGATGCCATCTGTGAAAAAGCTGAAGTTAAAGGGAGGATTGCTTCTACAAATGGATAATGATTCTAAACACACCTCGAAATCCATGGGGGATTACATCAAGAGGCGTAAACTGAAGGTTTTGCCATGGCCTTCACAATCTCCTGACCTCAACATAATTGAAAATCTATGGATAGACCTTAAAAGAGCAGTGCGTGACAGACAGCCCAGAAATCTCAAAGAACTGGAAGACTTTTGTAAGGAAGAAAGGGCAAAGATACCTCAAACAAGAATTGAAAGACTCTTGGCTGGCTACAAAAAGCGTTTACAAGCTGTGATACTTGCCAAAGGGGGCAGTACAAGATATTAACTCTGCAGGGTGCCCAAACTTTTGCAGATGCCATTTTTTTGTTTTCTGTTATTTTGAAAGTGTAAATGATGGAAATAAAATCTAACTTTTGTT